CCTGAGGGTCCCATCCCAGGGGTCACACAGCTGGGGGGGCTTTTCCAGCTCATTCCAGCGTGGAAATCCCAGAGAGCCGTGGAGCAGCAGGAAGGAGTTGAGCTCAGGATTGTGCAAATTGGCTGCTTGCAAAAAATCAAGTTTGAAAAAGCCGAGTTTGGGATAGAACCCTGAGAAAAACACTTTCTTTCTAGATTTTGTCTGGGGGGAAAAAAAAAAAAATCCAATTCCTTCCCATATCCTAAAAAAGTGATGGCACGGCCCAAAGAAGCCTCTAAGGAAGTTGTCAAACCTTGGGATGAAAACAAATCTGGAGGAGCAGGTAAAAGGTAGCAGCTCCAGCACAGGTAAATTGCTTTTTAACAAGGAGACAAGGCCCATCCCTGGCATCTGCCGTATGTTTTTATAAAGCCCAGAAATATGTTTTTAAAAGGCCAGTAAATAAAGTTCCTATCGATTTGATCTCCAGTGTAATCTGTTTTTCTGTCTGCCACCACGAGTGGTAATAAAAGGGAATCAGGGGACGAGGGTTTGGGTTAATGCAGTGATCCATCACCGTCGGGGGCTTTGCCTCGCTGCACAATCGAGAAACTGCCCCAAATTGGTGCGAGGGCCAATTTTCTTTTCCAATTTATTTTTGCTTGAGCGAAGCAATATCGAGGCAGGACAAGGAGGATGCGTTTCCCGTCCTTCCAGATGTTCTCCCACTCCCCTGGCCTGGGAAAGGGACGCCAGCAGCTCCTCGGTTGGGGATTTTGGGAAGGTGCTGTGGGTGCTTGGATGTTTGGGGTTTTTGAGGTCAGGTCTTTGGGTATTTGGGGTTTTGAGGTCAGTTTTTTGGGTATTTGGGGTTTTTGAGGTCAGGTCTTTGGAGTCAGACCCAAAGGGGGATTGGGATGTGCTCAGGAGAGTTTTCCAGTGAGGATTGAGCATCCCAGGGCTGATCTCCCATGGACTGAACATCCCAAACATGCCAGGGCTGCATTTCCCATGGATTCATCATCCCAAACATCCCAGGGTTGGTCTCCAGACATTCCCAGATCTCTGCCCACCAGGACAGAGCACTTAAAGCTTTTCCAGGGTGTCCAAGCCATCCATAACCCCTCTCCCGTCCCTGGCAGTGCTTCCTTGACTCCTTTCCTGTTCCTCACAGAGATGCCCTCACACACAACCAGTGACCTCACAGCACTAAAAACTGCCCCAAAATGGGATTTTTGGGCAGTAAATTGATGTTTGATAAAGCTGGGTTTGACAGCTCGGTTTTTAAACATGACAAAATATCCGAATCCACCCTGAAACGATGCATTAAAGTCCCCCCAGGCCAGGTTTTGCTGCCACCAGAGCTCGGCTTTGCAAGATGCCACCCCACGTTCAGCTCCTTCACCCCAAAGCATCGACGTTCGCTTCCCCGAGGGACCTCGGGCACAAAGGTGACCCCAAAACCCATCCCAAATATCTGGGACGAGGATGGGAAACCTCCCATTCCCTCCCCACCCCTTCGGAAAAGCGGTAAATATTTCTAGAGAGAAAAACAAACATTCTGCATTTGGCTTTTTTGGTGGTTGTTTTTCTTGAAGAGACAAAGTGTTCCACAGAGAGCCGACACTTCCTACACAAGTTTGCATCCTCAAACCCCGAGATTTTCTGCCACGGATTTGGATGGGAAAAGCATCTCCAGCCCTCCCCACCCCATCCAGGATCACCGAGCCAGAGCATCCCACAGGAGCACCACGGGGAGATGGAGATCTCCTCGCTTCACCAAATTTTCCCACTCTCGTGTGGGAATAAATTAGGAATAATCGAATTTCCTGGGTTTAGAAATACCCCCATAAAGCATAAAAACAACTCTCATGCCTCAGCTCTTGTTCCCACTCAATTTAGGGCGAGTTGAGGAGGGAAAAATGTGATCTCAAAACATCCTTAGA